ATTAAATGTCGATTCATATATGGGGCATTGGACTTTACTTAATTTGAAATGTGAAGCAAGTGGTAAAGTTATAGACTTGGACTCGTGCATGGAGAATTTTGACAAAACATTTTCCACATAACAAGTTTGGTTAAGTATTAACAAGTGTTTAGGCCTATTTCTTATGATATTCACGCCAAGAATTCTTTTAACATGCTATAAATCTTTCATTTCAAATCTAGAATTTAAAGACCTCTTAATGTCATTAATGTCACGTATATTAGAACCAATTAATAGCATATCATTCCATACAGGAGCAAGTAAACAATCGAAGAATCTATTTTATTTTTCTTAAATTACAGGCAATGATCAAAAGCACTTCTTATAGAGCCAACAGATGCAACAAAGTCATCAAACATTTTATACCATTGTCTAAGTAATTGTTTTAACCTATATAATGTCCTTTTTAACAAACACACATGATCAAAATTTCTTTTATCAATAAAACCTTGTGGCTGAGGCATATAGATAGTTTCATCTAAATCACTATGTAGAAAAGTTGTTTTAACATCCAATTGTTCAAGCTCTAATTCATAATGAGAAACCAATACAAGCATTATCATAATGATAGTATATTTAACTACAGGGGAAAANATTAAATGTCGATTCATATATGGGGTATTGGACTTTACTTAATTTGAAATGTGAAGCAAGTGGTAAAGTTATGGACTTGGACTCGTGCATGGAGAATTTTGACAAAACATTTTCCACATAACAAGTTTGGTTAAGTATTAACAAGTGTTTAGGCCTATTTCTTATGATATTCACGCCAAGAATTCTTTTAACATGCCATAAATCTTTCATTTCAAATCTAGAATTTAAAGACCTCTTAATGTCATTAATGTCACGTATATTAGAACCAATTAACAGCATATCATTCCATGCAGGAGCAAGTAAACAATCGAAGAATCTATTTTATTTTTCTTAAATTACAGGCAATGATCAAAAGCACTTCTTATAAAGCCATCAGATGCAACAAAGTCATCAAACATTTTATACCATTGTCTAAGTAATTGTTTTAACCTATGTAATGTCCTTTTTAACAAACACACATGATCAAAATTTCTTTTATCAATAAAACCTTGTGGCTGAGGCATATAGATAGTTTCATCTAAATCACTATGTAGAAAATTTGTTTTAACATCCAATTGTTCAAGCATTCATAATGAGAAACCAATACAAGCATTATCATAATGGTAGTATATTTAACTACAGGGGAAA